GGGGCGGCGGCGGCCGAGGAGGAGGACCTGGACGAGGCGAGCCTGCTGTCCGAGCTGGTGGAGGCGGCCTCCTTCCTGCAGGTCACGTCCCTGCTGCAGCTGCTGCTGTCCCAGGTGCGGCTCACCAACTGCCTGGAGCTGTACCGCCTGGCGCAGGTGTACGGGCTGCCCGACCTGCAGGAGGCCTGCCTGCGCTTCATGGTCGTCCACTTCCACGAGGTGCTGTGCCAGCCCCAGTTCCACCTCCTGGCCTCTCCTGCGCCAGCCCCCGGCGATGGCAGCCTGAAGCAGAGGCTGAGGGAGGCCCGGATGACCGGGACTCCGGTCCTCGTGGCCCTGGGGGATTTCTTGGGGGGACCCTTGGCCCCTCACCCCTACCAGGGGGAGCCTCCGTCCATGCTCAGGTATGAGGAGATGACGGAACGTTGGTTCCCGCTGGCCAACAACCTTCCTCCCGACCTGGTGAACGTCCGGGGTTACGGGTCTGCCATCCTGGACAACTACCTCTTCATCGTGGGCGGGTACAGGATCACCAGCCAGGAGATCTCCGCTGCGCATTCCTACAACCCCAGCACCAACGAGTGGCTCCAGGTGGCCTCCATGAACCAGAAGAGGTAAGCACCCAGCAGAGCTCTGCTGCCTCCTCCTTCATTCCCCTCCTGTTTGCCGGGCAGTCACCGGAGGCTGTACCGAGGTGGGAATGGCACCTCCAGGACTGTTGTTGGCCTTGATGCTGGCCAACCTCCCAATGCACTAAGGACTTTAAAGGAAGAAAAGGCCCCAAGGAAGTCTGCAAGCTGAGTGGTTTCCTTGCAGGTATTGTGCCTGTAGGCCAGCTGCATTCTTGACCTTTATCCCAGTGGGAGAAAACATGTGGTTTCCTAAGATGCTTAAAACTGTTCTTTAAATTTTGCTTTTATTTTTACCTTTTTTATTTTATTTTTTTAGGCTCCGATCCTGATAATGATGACACATTGGGCAGTAACCTGTAACACTGACTTTGGGGGATTGTTTGTTGATGTTGTTAATGACTTTCGAGCCTCCCACACTGGAGCGCCACAGGAGATGATATTTGGGATTGTGTTAATATTATCTGTATAGGACTATCTTTCTTATTTTTTTATCCTCTCTTTTGCATCTCACTTCCTCCCCAGATTGTCATCATTATTGACCCAAAGCTTGAGTCTGGAAGTGGTCACCTACCGTATTAGAATATTTCCACCCACCTCAACCTTCACCCTTCCCATCCTGCAAAACCCTCCCAATATGAACTTGGGTGACTTAAACAAAGGAAGAGAAAAGGGGGGGTAGAGAAAGGAGTCAGGAAAGGAATAGGAAAACAGGAGCAAAGCAGATACAGGAAGAGGTGGTAGGTAATAGAGATGGTAGAGCCCAAGATGAGCCAGAGCCATTCAGAAGTGGGAGAAGAATCAATGTAACCCAAGAAAGGACAAGAATGCAAGAATACCCTTTCTTCTGGTCCACCTGTATCCATCTCCAGCGCCCCATGCTTCCTGCCCTGAAGTATGGAGCAAGGAGTCAGGGGACTCACCACTTGTCAAAGAAAGTCTTAACAGGAATGGGGAAGCCATTACACATGTTTACTTCACTTGAGGGGCACCCCAGGCCAGGGGGAACACTGGCTTTATTTCTAACTATAGTGTAAGTGTTCCTTTTTCTAATGATTAAAAATAATATGTAGTTATTCTAGAAAATTGGAAAAAGGAAAAGAATAAAGAAGCAGAAAGGCTATCACTGCCACTCCCTCCTTCCTAGAGGCGGTAGCCATCTACAGGTTAGCATATTTTCTTCCAGCTCCTTTTTAGCTAAGATGACATCATATTTAAAATTTGATGTCAGGAATATTATTACTATTATTTTTTAAAATACATTTTTATTGGTTTCAGAGAGGAAGGGAGAGGAAGAGAGAGAGAGAGTGATGAGGGCGAATCATTGAATGGCTATCTTCTGCACTCCCCTCACTGGGTATAGAGCCAACAACCTGGGCATGTGCTCTGACCAGGAATCGAACTGCCACCTCCTGGTTCATAGGTCAGCGCTGAACCATTGAGCCACTCCAGTTGGACAAGAATATTATTTTTAAACAAATTCTAGGAGCTTTACTTAAAGCAACAAAGAAACATTCAGTGGTTATGAGTGATGCTCAGATTAGGGGTGTAAAGCCCAGCAGGTTATCTGTCACCTCTACACACGTGTCTTCTGCTGTATCAACTGGTGCTCAGCACGCCTCCCATAGCTCCACAACTCTCTCACTAAACCTCATAATTCTTTTCTTTCTTGACAAATCTTTGGTAGTCTTCTGTACCTCTCCCCCCACGCCCACCTCAAGGACTATCCTTTCTGTCCTCTTTGAAAAAAAATGAAAGTATTTGAGTAGTGCCTGAACTCATGCTTAGAAAATTGCAAATGACATGAAAAATTATTATAGAGTAAAAAATGTCTATCTATAGACATACTTATATATTTAAATACGTATTAATACTTATAAATTATAAATGTGTATTCATATAAATATGTTGATAGTGGTTAATAGGGGAAAATGATGTACATGGGGGTGTATATATAACATACATGTATATTTTTACTCAAATTGATTAAGTTATGCTGATTATTATAGCACTTGATATTTCCACTTGGCATTACTGTAGCTGACAGTTTTTTCTATATCAACAAACAGATACACCCCAGCCTTGTTAATGGCTATGTAGTATTCCAGCCCGTGGATGTACCATAATGTAATTAACCTCTCCCTTATTCATGAACATTTAGATGACTGCCACTTGCCATTATAAACAATGCTATGTTGAACATCTAGGCATATGTGAGTTAGTTCTATATGGCAAATTCCTGGAAACCCTGGATAGGTGACTAGTGTGAATGTCTCTGATTGAGAGATTATTCTTTTCATATGATTATCAGCCATTTGTATACTTTCGTAAGTGGCCTTTGCTAATTTTTTAAAAAATTGGCTTGTTTATCTTTTTCATATTTATTTTGTTATATTTATATATGTAGATATTAGTCTCTTGTCTTTTATCATAAGGTTCACAAATGCCTGAAGTGACCATGGATGTAAAGTCAATGAGTAGAGGTGGGAGTTAATATGAACCAGAGAGCTACTGCCCTACCACAAGAGGGCTCCACCTCTCAGCCACGGCTGGCTACGGTATTGCCAAATGGAAGTGAGAAATGGTGTGCCAGACATGTAGATACCCTGATTTTTAAAGATGTTGGCAGCTTACTCCATTTAAAAAACAAATAAATCAACAAAAACAAGAAAAACTTTGCAGACCCAAAAAGTGCAGGCTCTAGTTTTGGACTTAACGTTTATAGCATATTCTTTTTTTAAAAAAATACAGTTTTATTAATTTCAGAGAGGAAAGGAGAAGGAGAAAGAGATAGAAACATCAATGATGAGAGAGAATCATTGATTGGCTGCCTCCTGCACAACCCCTACTGGGGATCAAGCCCACAACTCGGGCATGTGCCCTTGACTGGAATCGAACCTGGGACCCTTCAGTCCACAGGATGACACTCTATCCACTGAGCTAAACCAGCCAGGGCTATAGTATATTCTTATATGAAGATATTTAAAATGTTTTGCAGTCAAATTTGTTATGAATTCTTTGAACTTTCTATCTTACATAGGAAAGGATTCTACAAACTAAAAATACCTAAAATATTCATGATCTACCTCATGCTCATGATCTATTTTTTAATTTTGCCTTTTTACACTTAGATCTGAATCTGTTTGGGATTTATTTTTATTTAAGGTATAGTGTGGAGTTATAACAAGTTTTTGAAATGTCCCAGAGGCCTTAATCCTTCTCACTATGATTTGCAAAACCAGTTATTATATGCTCATTTTCTTGTTTTTAAATTGCCAGATTGGCTATTCCTGCATCAATAACACATTTTTTAAATTATGGTAGTTTGGTAATCTATGGGGTGGGCAAAAGTAGGTTTACATTTGTGAGTGACATTCTTTTGCGTTAAGAAAGCTATTGTAATAATCATAACCAGCATATCTTTTTCCATACAATTAGCTGTAAATCTGTTTTTGTCCACCTACCCCTTATCTTATTTTTTGTCTAGTTAAACAAAGCCCCCTTTGTTCTGTTTTGTTTTAATTCTCTTGGCTATTTTTTGCATATCTTCTTCAGATAAGCTTTAGAGTCAGCTTGTCAAGTCCTGTTGGGATTTTGATTAGGATTATGTAGCATTAGATTAATTTGGAGGAGGATTCACAGCTTTATAATATTTTTACAGCTTGAAAAATGGTTTCTTTATCCAGGAATTATTTAGGTCTTTTGGTTCTTCATGAAAAGTTTCTTTTATTATCTTTGTAGCAGCTGTATTTTTCCTACAATGATACTTTTTAAGTTATATTTTCTAGTTGGTTATTGATGCCACGTTGGAGTGTGTACCCTTCTTTTACCTCCCTCAGCTTTGACTCAGATCTGACATACTATCAACCAGGAGTCCCTTCCTGAATCCTCAATTGGGTTCAAACTCTGTGTTCTTCTAGCACAATCCCACTTTGAATTGAATTTTTTTGTTTATGTTTGTCTCTCTCCCTTCCAATTGAGTCCAATTACTTATTCAACGCTTATGTATTCCTACTGTTAAGATGGTGTCCAAAAAATAATAAATGTGTGCAATGCACGGTTTGTTGAATTGTGGCATAGATTTTTATGTTACTGTAATAAAAGCCAGTGTATAATTTTATAGTCATTTAAAATGTAACATTTTAGTGAACAGTTTAATCTTATAACAGTCACTATAGTTATTTAGAATAGCTGAAAAAATATGTAACACTTAATTGAGCACTTAGTCTGTGCTAGTTACTGTTCCTACTACTTTACATGTATAATCTCACTTATTCTTCACAAGGGCTATATTAGGCAGGTTCCCACTGTACAGAAGCAGAAACTGAGGCACCAGAAGTTAAGTAGATTGCTCAAAGTGTCTACTAGGAATAGTAACAAAAATGGAAGTACCATTTGAATATGTACTATTGGAAGTACTATTGTATATGTATAACTATTTAGATAGCTTACAAGTTACGGCTTATAGATTGGCAGTGATCATCTTCATTCAGATTTAAAAATTTTCCTTTTAAAAAGTATTTTCTTCCAAGAAATGGAGCATAGATATTTTATGGTACTGTGCTGCTTCTCAGAATTTTATCATGTGTGCTTCAGCTTCACCACAGCCTTTATATCCAGTATTTTTCTTGTCACCATTGGATAAACAACAAGGAGGACATAGTTCCTGGCTGCAGGAATTTATAATTGATGAGACAAGTATAAATGAAACCCACTTGTTTCTGGCTAATGCATCCAACACAAGTTTCAGAAACACTGCAGGGAACTTAGAACCCTGAGTAAGAATGGCAGGTTTTACCCAGAATTTCCATTCACTCTGATTCACTGCTTGTGGGACGGATCTGTACCGTTTTACTTTGACCAAGGGTCAGATGCAGAGCAGCCGGCTTTCCCCAGGCCCTGAACAGTGCCACAATCCCAGATTCTTAATTAAAGACAGCCAAGAACCCTAGGCTTAGGGGATTTTATAAAGCCCTTTGCACCCT